AGCGATAAGTCCTCTAAGAGCAAGTATTATCATCCATATATTACGATGTATTTAGTTTCTTAATCTTAATGTGGTAATATTACTTAATGAATAAACCTTATGTTTATTCTTGGTTCGGTAACAATATATTTTCTTAAAATAATATGCACATGAATGAGAAAATATCATAATATATAAAAGTTTCAATATCATTACAAAATGGAACCAAGTCCCATTTTCTCTACATAATCCTTGAATTTCAAAGGTGGCATGTCTTTAGTCAACGGATCAGTAATCATCTATTCAGTGCTAATATGCCCTGATACCTAATGTAATGTGGAAGGGTGTTCAGAATATATTCCGACTTATTAATCAAGAGTTGAGTCGTAATATCTTGCATTTGTACTATATGTTCACTCACACCCTTTATGTCGGTGAGTCTAAGGGATTAAAATTTCATTATAAAGGTACTTGCTAGTGCTTTTTCTGAAGTGATGAATTGCTCATCAAAAGCTTGATCACTAGTCATTCTTCCGAGAAAAGCCAATTCTCTTGGGTGGTGGAGCTACATGTTGAGGTGGTGCTATCACAGAAGACCCTTGGTAGTATCCTATAACAACAAGAACATTATTTCATACATGAGGAAAGACAACTCTCTGGGGGTGTCACAACGGGAGTCGATAAAGGTTGTTGCACCACCGTGGTTGGAGGTGGTGAGATGTCAGACTGCAATGCTCCGCTGGAATATGCAACCAACCCTCGGCATGGCTTCTTCGGAGCTGCTGATGAGAGAGTAGAATATTTCTCTCTATTTCTCTTCTGCCTAACGAAATTGTCGTTGATGAGCGTCTCTGTCGTGGCCTCCGTGAACGCAGACTCAATTATTTTCATGAACTTGCCTCCAAAGATGGGTTGATGCCAGCTCTTCTTCATGTGACAGAAAACTTTGTAAGAAATCTTTGATACCAAAATGTGTTTCTAAACCATTATAATAGAAACACAATAAAAATTGATACAGAAATGAAATAGTATACCTCCAGCCATTGTTGTCAAGAATTTCTTCTTGAACTTTGGCACATCTCTGCACAGAATTCTCGCTTTAGATGGTGTAAGAAATCCTTTTGCTTCAAAGAGATGTTGAGCCCAGAGACCAAAATCCTTGTTTATATAGATGTTCTCACATCAAGAATATTTATTATCACCAACTCATTCAAGAATTAATTCAAATTTATAACGTTTGGACAATAATAAAGAATTTTAATGATATTAAATATTTAATTTAATAATAATAATTTTATTTATAATGAATAAAAAACTGAAATCATTTAGACCATAATAAATGAAGAAATTCATGATAATGAATTATAAATCATAATGAGAACAATTACATAATTATTAAATAAGATATTTAATAATAATGGTTAAATTCTCTCACTTGATCCATGCGTCTAGCTTAATAATTTGAATTAATCTTTTTTAGCAACTTTCTTAATAAATAAATACATGAATCATAGCGATAAGTCCTCTAAGAGCAAGTATTATCATCCATATATTACGATGTATTTAGTTTCTTAATCTTAATGTGTTAATATTTTTAATGAATAAACCTTATGTTTATTCTTGGTTCAGTAACAATATATTTTCTTAAAATAATGTGCACATGAATGAGAAAATATCATAATATATAAAAGTTTCAATATCATTACAAAATGGAACCAAGTCCCATTTTCTCTACATGATCCTTGAATTTCAAAGGTGGCATGTCTTTAGTCAAAGGATCAGTAATCATCTATTCAGTGCTAATATGCTCTGATACCAAATGTACTGTGGAAGGGTGTTCAAAGTATATTCTGACTTATTAATCTCGAGTTTAGTCGTAATATCTCGCATTTGTATTATATGTTCACGCACACCCTTTATGTCGGTGAGTCTAAGGGATGAAAATTTCATTATAAGGGTACTTGCTAGTGCTTTTTCCGAAGTGATGAATTGCTTATCAAAAGCTAGTAGCAAGTCTCGGACTTTTCATGCTGGTCAACAGAACCTTGTATACCAGCAATTATCTTAGTTTTGATAAACATCACGCTAAGCCGATTGGATCGCTCCCATCGCTCATATAACGTGACATCAGTTGGAATGCTAGTATTAGTGACTGTAGGTGGTTCGTCTTTCTTAATAGTATAATCAATATCTATCCACCCTAAATAGAGGAGAACCCTCTCCTTCCATATCTTATGGTTATCACCACTAAGTTTGGGAATATCACATCGAATATCAGAGAAATTAACAGTTTGAGAAACTGTATAAAATCAAACATGCTTATGTCAAAATTTAAAGCTTAATAGTCTAAATTGTATGTTTTACCAATGTGAAAAAGCCAAAAAATATGAATTTCATGATATAAAAATTACCTGTGAACTAAATTCTTAATTCAAATAGATTCAAATGGTCTTTATGATAAAACTATCAAATTATATTCTAATTCATAATCCCTATGGGTAAATTATGAAAATAATATGATATTTTATCCTGATTAATTATATTAATATAATAAAAAAATCCTATGGGATAATAATTATTATATGAAATATAATCAGTTACGATATGATGTCTAATTACCTATGTGATCCTTATTTTAATTTTATATATAATTTTAATTAATTAAGGATGCTTTGACTAATTATTAATTAATTAAGATTATATGGATCACTAGACATTTTAGACATATAAAATTGACTTATAAGCATGATTAGATATAATCAAATATAGCATTTTATTGTCTAAAATTATTAAAAATATCATATCCTCATAATTTCAATATGAAATATATCAAGAAGTTTAAAAAATAAAATAAAATAAAGTCATATTCATGGTATAAAAATAACTATTTCATATCAAGGCAAAGGTCAATCGGCTCTAATACCAAATATAAGAAATCTTTAATACTAAAATATGTTTCTTAATTATTATAATAAAAATATAATAAAAATTGATGCGGAATCGAAATAACGTATCTCCGGCCATTGTTGTTAAGAATTTCTGTAAAATTTTCTTTTTGAACTTTGGTACTTCTTGGACCAGAACTCTCACTTTAGATTTTTCAATTTCATATTTATTATTATCAGTCATCTTTGAAAAGCAGTAAATGACCACTCTATATAGCCTCTCCAAGAAGCCATCAGTCAACTATAAAAAGATGAAAACCCTTCAAATATTTCTTAATTAATTTGATTTGAAGAAACTATTCAATCATATCAAAATAATGAAAATGATAGAAGATAATAATAGTTTGAAGCATTAATTAAGATCTTACGGTGAGGATTGTGTGGCATAGACCGATATGTTTCGAATGAAAATGCTGGTAGGTGTAGTCATTGACTATTATGTTTATTCCCATCTCGAGAAACTCACATGAAAATGCTGCTAGGTGTTGATGATTCATTTTGTATTGTTATACTGTCATATATTGGAATAATGTTAGTCATCAATATGTTCATCTTGCAGTCTTACCATACAGGTATATACGGTACATAAATCAACAAGAACTTGTCAGATAGAATGTTTCTCATGAAGAAATGGAGATGCAAAGATTTATTTAGCTCATGAAGATTAGTACATAGGACTTTTACCAGTTCATATACACTGGAGAGATGTTTGCTCCAGAAAGACGGATCATGAAAGCATCATATGATTGGAGAAACTGAAGGATGTTTCACCAATCATTCATTCATAGAGAATGATCATGTATCTTTGCAGAAAACAAGTAACTAAAGTGAACACAGCTGCAGGTTCTTCTCTAAGCTGGTAGCAAGATGTACATCCTCAGCTGCAGTGTGTCTGTTTATGATGCTTTTGGAGGAGACTTTGGGTGACTATTGGTAACTATAGGACTTAAAAAGTTTATGATGATTGTGTCAAAGTCGTATGAAACAACTAAAACAGATTAGCATATCAGAACAATAAGCTAAAAAATTGAAGAAACGGAGAACCTCATGTAGAACTTAACATTACTTGTATGTTCTATCACACAGCAATTTAGTGCACTCCACAAGCAACACATCCTTTTGGCATATACATCATATAACTGACTTCTCAAAGACTCGGCCATTGAAAATTTTGATCCTCAATAATTAACAAGAAGGCATGAATTCATATAAGTGACATCTCAAAGACACATACAAATTTTAGGTATAGTTCACCAGAAAATCTGTAAAATACATCCATAACCCACAGAATAAACATACATGTTTTTAATCAAGTCAA